ATGATTCTTTTTAACTCATTACCTTCTATCACCTGAAATAAAAATTTTGGTTGGTTGTTGCAGTCAGAATTTAGTCATTCAGTTAACAATTACACCATTTTCGGCTATAACTGAACCATATAATTGTCCATTGCAGCAAAAAGATGAGGGAAATGGTTGTTGGGGGTCATTGGCAGTGGATGAAAGGTTTTCAGCATTTGTTTTTGTGCTGAAGCTGACTGAAGATAGATGGTTAAATTGCAATGGAAATGATTTTTACATACCCTTAACAAGCTCGGTGGTGCCTGACCAAGATATTGGTAAAACTCATTTTAAAGGTGAGGAGCATCTGAAGGAGATTGCCTCACCTGAGATAATTGACAATATTTCTGAACCAAATGAGGCAGTTGCTGCATACACAGATGGTATCATTAGTGAGATAAGGAATTTAGTCAGTGATATTTCCTCCGAAAAAAGTCGGAAAACGAAGTGCAAAGAAGCCCAAGAAAGCATTCTCCGTGAGATCGAGAAGCTTGCTGCAGAAGCCTATAGTGTCTTCCGAAGTTCCATGCCTACATTTACAGATACCGATCAATTGGAAAGCCAGGATTTACAACCCGCTATAAGTATATCTTCAGGGACTGGTTCAGGGTATGAAATACTGTGCCAGGGATTTAACTGGGAATCTCATAAATCAGGAAATTGGTACTTGGAGCTTTATGAAAAAGCTTCAGAATTGTCGTCCCTTGGTTTTACAGTGATATGGCTGCCTCCACCTACTGATTCTGTGTCACCAGAGGGCTACATGCCTAGGGATTTGTACAATTTAAATTCCAGGTATCATCTTGAATTGTCAATTGTGTATTGTGTCTTCCCCCAGCATAGTTACATCAATAGGAATAGAATGAGATTTTTCTTCTTAAGAGGTCTCAAATATATTACACACCTATGGTTATTATGCTGATACAATATTGGGAACCGACTTACTGTCCACTTTACAATTGTTTCTACTTGACTCATCATACATTTATTTGTTTATTCTTCACGATAGTTGCAATGATTGCGGCACTAATGTTGTTTGTAAGGTATGGAAACATTGATCAGCTTAAGGGTCTTGTGAAGAGACTGCATGAAGTGGGTATTAAGGTTCTTGGAGATGTTGTCTTAAACCACCGATGCGCACATTATAAAAATCAAAACGGCATCTGGAATATTTTTGGTGGTCGCTTAAATTGGGATGACCGTGCAGTTGTTGCTGATGATCCACATTTCCAGGTGCGATACCTTTCTGCCACACAAAGTTTTACTTCGAGGACAATTTTGTGAGGTTCTTGAATAGAAGAAACGTACGCATGTGTTTCTAAAGTAAAGTTGACCAAATGTCCTAGGTCCCAGCTCAAAGAAATGAGAACTAGAATGGGAAAACCAAAATTAATATAATCTAAAGTTGTCTTAATTACTGTTTCCATATTCTTCTTTTGAGAATAACTCTGTTTATTTCCTTAGTTATGCTGTAATTCATCAAAGTTGCATACTATTTATTCTACTTTACTTCTGTGAGAATGGTTTTTTAGAAAGCCTCAACCGACTTATTTCAATGAAATTGTAGATACTGGAAGGATCAAAATAGTCAACAATGCATGTTCTTTTATTTCGATTCTACATCCCTTTCTTTTCTTTGGATGTCATTTCCCTACGTAGTTGTGGAATGAATATATTTACCATATTACCTACGACAGACATGTACATGAGTTCAGAAAAGAGCAAGAATAGATATTCTTGTTGTATGAATGACGTCGTCTTGTCCAGACCTTTAATATTTGTGCCATTTCCATACGTTAAGCTCAAATCAACATAATCGAAAATTCCAAATATTCTTTCACTTGACCACTCACAGGGACGGGGCAACAAGAGCAGCGGAGATAATTTCCATGCGGCTCCAAACATTGATCACTCCCAAGAATTTGTGAGAAATGATATCAAGGAGTGGCTATGCTGGTTACGGTTAGTCAATTGAATTTTCATTTTATTCATTTAACTGCAATAACCAAATGCTAAATTTCCATTCTGTCGGGTGAAGGTACTAAATTTTAAGTCCTAACTATTGATTTTTTTTTTTTTTAATCATAAATTCTAGCGTAATATCTTTTCAGTTTGTTTTGGCAATGTAATTGAGTTATATTAGTCATACTACAGAAAATGAAAATTTACCGATGATGTTATTCCCTGTGTATGTGAGATATATAATGTGCCCCATGCTCTCTGTGGGGCACAGAATGTGTCTGTCTGTTACGCAAGCTGATTACATTGACTTGGTCATACAGTGAAGAAATTGGTTATGATGGTTGGAGGCTTGATTTCGTGCGGGGTTTTTGGGGTGGTTATGTCAAGGACTACCTGGACGCAAGTGAGCCCTACTTTGCTGTGGGGGAGTTCTGGGACTCCCTAAGTTACACTTATGGAGAGATGGACCATAATCAAGATGCACATAGACAGCGAATCATAGATTGGATAAATGCTACAAATGGTTCTGCCGGTGCATTTGATGTCACTACAAAAGGGATTCTTCATTCTGTAAGAACATGACCATTTTCTATTTGTTCCTTGTATTGTTATGTAATAAGCATATATAATGATTACATTCTTTCGTGAATTGAACTCTGTGTGAGCATCTCTGTTTTGACTTGCCTGTGTAGGCACTTGAAAGATGTGAATATTGGCGATTGTCTGATGAGAACAGGAAACCTCCTGGAGTGGTAGGATGGTGGCCATCTAGGGCTGTTACTTTTATCGAGAATCATGACACTGGCTCTACTCAGGTTGTAGTTAGAAATTGTTATCTTATTTCCTTACATTTGTGCTTGGGTACTGCATGTGCCGGTAAAAGAGTTACTTTTTTTTGTATCAACAATTGTATGTGTATTAAAGTGCTCTTCCGATAACTTTATGGTTTCTTTATGTGTTGGCCCAATGAATAGAGGTTTGCCTTTTGAAAATGTACGTGATAGATGGTTATGTCCCTGCTTAGAGATGATGCATCCAATCATTATTGATCAAGGAATTAAGATTGGATTATCTCCAGTTTTTTAATTCTTTTTTTTTTTTGTTTTTTTTTTTAATTTTCATTAATTGATACCTCCTCCAGATTTTTGTGGCTGTCTTTCTGAAATCGATGTAAAGTACTTCATTTTCCGGGGTAGTGGTTCTAGCCAACTTGCTGAAATGCATTTCTTAAACTTATATTCGGCAGTCAGTATGCAATTTTCTTTTCTTTTCATGAGGTTTGCCCCGACTTTGTGTAAAATTTGATCTAGTTATTAACTCACTCTCTCCGTGCGTGCGCACGTTGAAGTTAAACACAGTTCTTTCTCTTTTTAGTATCTTCTTGTATTTTCGATAGTATATTAATGTTTCATCTGTCTCGTATTGGATGACATATCTTTGATTTCATTTGCATCTAGATCTTTGATATTTCTGATGTTGTGTATTAGCAAGAATTGATAGAGGTTTGACCATTTTGTACCACAATTATTTCTCCTGAATTAATTTTCTATTTGAAAGGGCCATTGGAGATTCCCAGGTGGGAAGGAAATGCAAGGCTATGCCTATATCTTAACTCATCCTGGAACACCCTCCGTTTTTTATGACCATATATTCTCTGACTATCACTCCCAACTACTATCACTCATCTCCATCAGAAAACGGAACAGGATCCATTGTCGGAGCACTGTAAGTTCTAAAGGCTTTTATCACTTCTCTTGCCTTTTTGAAATATGGCTTTTCACTTTAACTGAATGGTTGCTATAAAATGAATATCAAATAGGAAAATTGCAAAAGAATTACCTTAAGGTCTAGCTTTACTACAAAATTACTCGACGAGAGTAATAGTACCCTCTTGACCTTGAGGTTTACTTTTGTTCTATAAATTTTTCTTATTCCCAATATTTTAACAAATTACCCCTTCAGTAGCTGAAAATTAAATTCC